CTGCCCCGCGTTCTCTTCCTGCCCCGCGTCCTCCTCCTCCCGCCCCGCGTCCTCCTCCTGCCCGGCGCGGCCGAGCAGCCAGGCCCGCCCCTCGGCGCTCAGCGCCTGCGAGAGGCTCTCCTCGTTGCAGCGCGCGAAGAAGCGCGCGAGCCCGGCCGCAGTCGACGAGCCGCCGAGCGCTCCCGGCCAGACGCATCCCGAGTCCATCATCCGCAGGGCATGACCCGCCGGCATGTCCGCCGCCGGGCCACCGCCGAGGAAGCCAAAGTGGTACCACGACTGGAGCGGCACGATTGCGACGCCGCCGGAGGAGCTGCCAAGAAGCGCCGGCGCCGCGTGCGCGCCGGCGGCGGTCGCAGCCTCGTAGCACGCGAGCAGCTTCTCAAAGGAGTCGGCGCCGTCCGACTGGGCGTCGTGCCACAGCTCGTGGTTTCCCACGACATAGAAGACGTGCCTGAACCGCTCGGCGAGGAGCTTAAGAGCGCTCCGCAGCAAGGCCAGCGAGGTACAAACGTCGCCCGCGACGACCAAAGCGTCGCGCTCGAAGCCGGCGAGGCCGCTCACGAAGTCAAAGTTGGCCTCGTGCTCCATGTGCAGGTCAGAGATGGCCCACACTCGCTCGACCGCGCTGAGGTGCCGCCACGCATGCCGGCGCTGCCACGCGGCGAAGCGCTCGACGAGGCCGTCGGCACTCGACGCGGACTGGCAGTGCAAGGAACGACCGCGCTTCCTGCTGGTGGAAGTCGACATCACACAGATTGTAGCGGTTTGATATGACCACCCAGGTCTGACCGACCGCGCGCGCCGAACCAGCGCCGACTTGCCCGGCCCGTGCGCGGACGACGTCGATTTCTTCTGTGAAGAGCTGAGTTACCTGTCTCCCTTCTCGACTGTTTGCAAATCAAGACACAGAGCTCACACAGAATCACTCTTCTGCTTTCGGCTGCGGCCTTACCACCAAGATCGGGAGGCGGCCAGGGCTCATGACTCGGTCGAGAGACCCCAGATTGGGAGAGAGGGAGAGATTTGTTTTGTCAGATTGGGAGAGAGAGATTTTTAGCAATACTTTGTTTTGTTTTGTCAGATTGGCATCCATGCCTCTCTGGACAGGGTGGCCCGCCACAACGACCACTGGAATTGCGACTCGCCGCTTTCCTCCCGCTGTGATTCTGTGTGAGCTCTTTGATTTGCCAACAATATACGTTCACTCTTCTGCTTGTCTTCTTCGCCCGAACACAAAGAATTACAGAACGTCAGCCTGGCCGGCCATGCTTCATGGCGGGGCGCTGCGGAGTGCGTGGCTCTTTGCTGCCAGTGTGCCGACGCCGTCGCCACCCGAAACTGCGGCAGCAGCAATGTGCGAGCTCTCTGAGGGCAACGGGTACGTTGTCGTGCCAAAGTGGCTGCCTGTGGACGCACATGATCGTCGCTCCAAGTCTCTCGCACTGCAGCTGCCACCGCCTGCGGCAGTCGTCGGCTGCCTGCGCACCTCAGCAGCGCGTGCTGCGGAGCCCCGTA